AAAATAGACTTGTTTCTATTTTCACATGGATTTAGAAAATGTAATTAATATACTTGAAAATATAACTTTCTTATATTTTTTTAATATTTCCTTACATTAACTAATGATCCAAATAAGAGTAGTTCATATGTGTCGATAATAAGGCACATAAAATATAGATATATTGGAAAATTAAGAAAATAACGATATTCTTAACAAGAAAAATACATTATAGTTTGGGACAGACGAAAGATTAATGTAAATTTATTTTTATAGTAGGAAGGGAATACTTACGTAACTATAACGAAAGATCGAAGATCAACTTGTTTCTCTCTTAACTCTCAGACATCGACTTCATATTAAAACGGTGCATGAAGCGACAAATAGTGCAATTTGTCCTAACATTAACGTCGTCTGTAGCTGTTCACGTGAGTATGGAACATGGGGTGGTGAAAGTTAAATGAGGTGGGGCCTATTAGTTTGGAAAGTTGCATGGTAGGAAACAAGTCACCTTGCAGGGAACCTATGTTATAATTAATTTTTCACCTAATTATTTGAAATTTTGAAACCATACAATTCTCCCATCTTTTTCGTGGGTACGACTGTGTTATCTGTTGTTGTTTTCATATGATGTTTCTGGACCAATTCTTGGAGCGATGTTAGCATGAGACCACATTTGGTTGGCATCTAATGTATGTACTATTTGATCTATTAATGTTGTTACATGTCCACTTTAAGAGCAAGTTACTACACGGAGGCCTCGGAAACCATACAAAATACCAATTTTATCAAAACTATATACATCTAGCCAGTTCAACATGTAAAATCAGGAATTAGTTATGGGGTTGTGCCGAATCGATTAGCTACCAAAAAGTACCTATAAGAAAACCCAATTTCGGACTTTGTTAAACTAAATGAATTCATATAGAGAAGACTAGCAATTTGTAATAATTGATGGAATGTTTATCAGTTTATGTATCTAACTAAATAAAACCGACAAGCAAGACAACTATAAAGAGATATTTTAAGAAAAGTACAAATTATTCAATAATCAATAGACGTAACACTCACTCAGTCATCATCTAATATATAGTAATACTTTTATGATGTCATAATTACTCGTGTAACTTGAGAGCACACATTCTTTAGGGATTTCTAGTGATGTATTGTATTTGCGTTGTTTTTTCCAAATTTCAAAGACAAACAATATTAGACATCGACGATTTTTGACGTCAACTACGTCCTCTTTTTGAAGCCGGTCAATTAGCTAACAAAAACCGCTCTTAGAACCGGGTTGGTTAACAATCGATACCAAAATATTAGCGGATCGATTATCTTTAATTTTGAATAATATATAATGCTCAAGGGTGTCCACATTGTGGTCATTGACAGGAATAGAACAATGATTAATATGATGAGTTGAATATCAAGAAATGTAGCCTTTTCCCCTAATGCTAATGGGTCCATTTCAATTTTGAATCATACCGACTTTATGTCAATTATTCATTCATTTAGCTAATGTGATGCACGTGAATGACATAATAAAACTTTATTTAGTTTATCATTTACCCTCTGCAAATTACTCAATAATAGGTTTTTCATGGTCAAATTTTTTACCATCATATATAGTATTAAAAGGCTTGGATTTCCATCTCAAATGATTAACTTTATTAAGAAAAATAGCACAATCCCTTATATATTGATCAAGATTTTCATCTTTATTGGATATGGGATTTATCTTTAACATGTCCCGCAAGATGGTGGTTCGCATGCTCATTTTTTTTAGTTTTAACTGGATCGAATTGCTTGTTGAAACTTAATGAATTCTGATACTATACTAAGACTTGAAACTCCATCTTAAAAGTTCAACTTTATTTAGATAAATAAACCAAGACATCATATATTTATAGTGTGTTTGGTGGATATTATTGAAGAAAAAATGTATTTTAAATAGTGATATGATGGAAATGTGTGGCTAAAATATAATGAAAAGTTATTGATATAATGTGAAATATTATTTTATTGAAAAATGTGTAATTAAAAATGAATTTTGAAAAAATGTTTGTCAAACAGGGACTTGTATATATTTTTATCTTTATTCAATATAAAATTTATGTTAGTACATAGAATCCTTTGTACCTTAGTAAGAAGGTAAATGATAACTTTGTATAATGAGGACATAAAAAGGAGAATAGCAATGATTGTGTAGTGTAAATTGAATCGCACACTGAGGAGACATTTGAATTATTTGGAAACATGAGCTGTTTCTGTACTTGACAGAAATTATGGAGTAGATTCAATCACATGCATCAGTCAATCATGAACCACTCCCTCCATTTGGCAAAATCTTTGATCCTAATCTGATCAAAAAAGGATGACTTCTGAGTTTGGAAAATGTTTCGTAACATTCAATCAGATACAGAAAAACCAGTGCTTAAAGAAAAGCTAACAAATTCTACATTTTTTTCTTTTTCTTCTAAAACTATTCAAACTAGAAAGGGATCTTTTGAATTCTTAAAGAACCAGTGTAACGGATTCATCGAGAAAGATTGTTTGTTCCAAGATAAATCGACATGTCAGATATCATTCCAAGAAGCAAAAACCGGCAAGTTAGCCATGGGGATCCAAGAATTGACATTGGTTGAGGGGTTGGTGTAGTTAGTTGTCAAGGTAGGCCTAGCAAAGAAAACAGACTCTCCTGTTTTATCCAGGCTTGTTTCCTTCGAACCAGTAACTAAAGACAATGGACGCGTAGAGTTTTGTCTCCGGGGATTGGTTGATTCAATACCAATCAGATCTTGCAGAGCCCCTGAGAAAGACGAACTTTGACAATTCATAGTTTTCTCGCCAAGTGATTCGATAGAAGCATTTTGCACCATTTTCCGATTAGTAACATTTCCGACATTCTCAACCAGACGACATTCCTCGTCTTCCGGACCTACTGTTTTGTAAGGATCCATCTCCTTGTTTTGCCGTGCTGATTCTCTAGTAGGAAGAGTATCAGTTGCCATGATTTTTTCCACATTGTATCTCGATATATCAAAATTGGTGACAGCATTTACGCCCCGGAACTTGATTGCAGCAATATCATAAGCTTCTATTTTTTTGACACATGCCAAAGAGCACAAAAATTAACTTCCCTTAACACAATTATACTTATATCAAGAATTTAACCATGTATAAACCATTACAGTCTAAGTAGCTTTTCAATCAGCCTTATCAGTAGTGGCTTGAAAAGTGAAGCACAAGAACAAAAAAGGACACAACCCTGCCATAATCACATTTTTGAATTTAACAGGTATGGAAATGAAAAGACCTTAAAATTTTGTAACTTACCAAAAGTTCCAAGATAGAGGTCTTTGTTCCCTGCAACGCGGCCAATCCTAGCCTGCCATCTTCCATGCTGATGATGCCTATAAGCACGGGAAAACCCGAGTTTTAGTTAAAAAGCCTGTTTAAATTTACAGAGGATTATGTTATGAGCATCGAAGGAACTTCAAATGAACCTTGTTACTCCTCTATACATTGAAATACCCCTTGAAAATCCACTACTTCTCCTGAAAATGAGAACGCAATAATGTAAGGTTCAATCCAACAAGTAAAACTGTAAAAGTCAGGAAACAAAGTCATCTAACAGAAAGTTTTTTCTTTGATATTTTTTCCTTTTCATACGATTAGTTCACCTTCTCAAATGTGCGACAAATTCCTGTCTGCTCATGTTTTCCATATGTAAAACTTCGTTCTCGTAGTTTTCCAACTGCAAAAGCAACAAGAAATTGTAAGTTGTTCATTCTCGGATTGAAATTTGATTTTTATAGAATTTGCGGTTAAAAATGAGTTTGAGCAAAAACAAATTTAAAATAAGTTGTTACCGGAAAGTTGATATGTGTTGAAGGTCCCCAGTACTTTAGTGCAGCAAGATCATATGCTCTTGCGGCTTTTTCTTCTATATCATAACCTCCTGAAATGTGTTCAGTATGATGTGTTTGAACATTCAAATAATTTTGCTTAATAACTAATAATTTAATAGCTTCGTTAAACAAACTATAATATTCTTACCAAGATAAACTGCAATTAATATGATTTGATGAATATCCAGAACATGACAAGAAAATATACTCAAGTTAGACACTGAAAATATGGTTAGTATAAAACTAATAATAAATCCAAAGGAATACTTTGCTACCTTGCCTTCCTTTCCTAGTCTGGCCTTCCTTCTTGCAGCTATTATCCCATAAATGTGCTTCATATCTACCTGTCCACCGATGTCTGGAAAATAAAATTTGTAATAAAACTCGACAAATCAGAATATTTCTTTTATCAGACGTACTTGATTCTAGGTGCTTTGTTTGAATAATAAAAAACAAAACTTTTAAAGAAATGACATACTTGTTCATTGAAAATTTTGTGTTCTACAAAACCAGACTGGTGAGGATACGTGGGCTACTTTGTGAAAAGACAAAAGAATTCAAAAAATGATGAAATTAAGACACTAAACGAACTCAAGATCAACCAAGAAAACACCATTATCATACAATAACATGGACAAATAACACTGTAACAAATATAATTAGACTACTTAAGTCATCAATGGTGATGAAAAAGGAATCTTAAGAAAGAAATGTAGACTGACCTGGTTACACCTCTATATTGTGATGTTCTCTGACCAAAACTATCAACGGCTTTCCTCTGAAGTTTTGGTTTTGATGCCGCTTTCTCAGCTACTCTTTTCCTGTTTTCCATGCCCAAAACTTGAGTCTCAGTGGGTGAAATTTGTCTTGAAGCAGTTACACAGCTTGACTGAGAAGCAGGACTCATTGACAAGCTCAATGACTCCACATCAACACCAACCATGCTCGGATTCACCTGTTGTTCAAGTGCAGCCCAGGTTTTCAAACATGGCATTTCACTCTCAGACTCATACATTGGAGGAACTAGAGTTTTATAGTTAACAAGCTGAGTTTCCTTGTGTGATTGCTGTTCATCTGTTGCCTCGTACGTACCATGATACTGAATCCCTTGTGCAGAATAATACTGTTGAACTTGATTAATTTCTTCTCCTATTTGTTCCTTAAAGGGTTCTTGATTATGAAACATGCTGTCTAAACTGAGAACCCTGGCTTCTGTTTCATGGCTTCCATATGGATGAGTTGCACCACCCAAGAAATCCTCCAGTCTTGGAGAGGAATTTGGTACCATGACTCCATTAAAGAAAAGAAAGATAAATTTGATATGTTAATGTAAAACCAAATGGTACATATTTAGTGAACTTACTGGGAAATGTATAATGGGGAGCAAAAGGAAGCTAACCTTGATTGTGTGATGTAGAGAGGGGTTTCATGATGCAACGGGAACCGTCAGATTTGAGAGGCATCACTGAGAAAGATGGGTGAAATACACCGTAGCAGAATGCAGAAGAAGCTTCCATTTTCGTGTAACCCAAACAGTTATCATTATCATCATTCATAGACTTCATCTTCCTCAGTCACACACACACACTCTCTCTCTCCCTCACTATATGTATGGATCTATCTCTTTTGCGTAAGTCTCATGAGAAAGAAGAAAAACATTCTTTACAAGAAAACTCTTCTCCCCTCTTCTTAGAACTGAGTCTCTTTAAAGTAAAACTAAACAAAAAGAATGAATTTCAGCAAGCAATGCTGGGTTAGTGGATAGCATTATACCGGGATCCGTGTATAAATTTATTGGAGAATCAAAATCTGAGAAAAGACTAGTCTTTCCTTATTCTCTCTCACTCTCTCTCTCGCTCTCTCGACCATCTCCAACCAATTTCGCTTAGGGTGTATAGCTCTATTTTTTATTTTTATTTTTATGTAAAATGTATTTTGAAATAGTAGATTGATGAAGAATATAGATAAAAATATTTTTTGAACAAAATGAAGATTAAATCTCCGTTTGTTTCTCATTTTTCATCAATAAAAATGAAAAATAGGACTGTTATCCATCACATCAAACCATCAATTTTGAATTTCTATCTCTTGTGTGAGACCTAATAACGATTACATTTTTCATTCTCATTCTATAATAATGAAAATCAAATGGGTCCTAAACATGGTCTTGAGTAGTACAATTTATAGCACCAATGGTGCAAGATATGATTATTCTTTTTATTAAGCTCATGTTCAAATCTCATTCTGTGAAATTTATTTCAATCACATATTCTTTAATGAATAATTATCACCATAAATTCCTATTTCCCTATTTTTTATCATACATTCTCCAAAAACATCAGTTTTTACAAAATCTATAATCAAAGAATTAGGGTTCAAACAGGAACTAAATTAAAAATTATATTTAATTCACTAAATATTTCATTTAATTTACAAAATTATTTTCGAAATAATCAAACAAGAATTATTAATTAAAAAAAAAACTTCAACAACAAGACCAATGAGCTCAAAGTACATTTTGTCCTTTTGGTCAATATTTTTATGGTCTTGAAAGATATGAAAATGATCCGTCAAAATACCAAGTCATTATCTTTTTTTTTTTTGGATTTATGTTGCGTTTTACATTAAAGTGTAGTTTTCAATAATTTATTGTAGTGCTAGGTTCTTTTGTATTTTAATGAATAAATTTGATTTAAAAGTACTTATTTTTCATTACTTAATTAAAATTAATTATGAATCTTAATACAAATAATAATAATAATATAAAAATGCATTTAACGAAATTTAAATCATTAAGTAATAAAAAGGATATAATAAAAAATATAATTTGTTGTTGTATAAATAAAGGACTAATTGAGAAACAATTAAAATTGTAAATATTACACTCAAATGAACAGTGTTTCACCATTGTTCACTCTACTTTGGTGAAATATTGTTTGTTACACTTATAAATTACGTCTTATATATGTCAACGGGCACCGACACATAATTGATTAGACATATTTAATTAAACAATTGCATCTTGGGCTTGAATTTATGCCCATTTCCTCTAACCCACTTGGCCCATTTCATCTCTCTATATACGTGTGAATACACTTCACACTCAAGGTATGAAATCTCTAACCTAGCCAAACATTCTCTCCTGTCTCTTGTACTCTTTATATTTTATCCAGACGTTGACTTGACCATCGAAGTGCAAACGATCTCCAACCTTTTTCTCGATCGACGATTTTGCCTCTTAACATGGTGTTCCAATGTGCAAGTGATGTTTATATTCAGTTCAGAGTGAACATATGCGTCAATATCAGTACAACTGTTTATATTTGTGGGATTCGAACCCTGGTGGAATGGCGTGCTGCCAGCAATTATATTAACAAAGGCGTGTTTTTTGCTATAACATTTTTATCCCATTCCTTTACTAAGA